TGCTGTTGCTGGTGCAGGTTCTTGGGCCTTTTATTGATAGGTTTGGGCTCCCTGACCCAGGTGCAGCTTGTTGAGGTTTTACCCTGAGCAAGGACAGGCCATTCATATGCAACAACTGATTCCCACAGCTTGGGTGGGGTTATAAATTGGATGAGGCGGGATCTCAGGGAATCACCAGGGCGGAGCAAACAGAAATGGCTGCCAGTCAGCCCTGCGACCAACAGGGAGATCCCAGCTCGGGAACAATGATCCCTGTGAGCACCTCGGTGGGGGAGAAAGCCGCCCCCGAGTTCCTGCCCCGATGCCAGACCGTCCAGTTCCTCCTGGTATGTGTCTGGGTCCCCAGAGCCTCTCCCTGCACTGGAGCTCAGAGGAAGTGGGACCTTGTACGTTCAGGTCCTGGTGCCGGCCCCTTAAGAGGAGCAGCTGGGTCCCCAGCCGCCTCTGTGTCCCTCAGCCCCAGTCCCGCTGGTTTTTACAGCCTGTCGTGTGGGGACTTCTTTTCCCAGCTCTGGGACCCTGGGCTGGGCGTCTGGTGTGGGGCTGGGACCCCTTGCTCCTCCGGGCGGCCTCCACAGAGACAACCTCCCTCCCGATGAAAAAGGCAGCCCACGTGGGTGCCGGCCCAGCCCGTTCCGCGCCTCAGCACCTCCTGCCAGCCCCGGTGCTTTCTTCTGTGCTTCTCTAGTCGTCGGACTTCACTCAGCCAGCTTTCCGGCGGTTCTGGATGATGGTGGTTCTGTATTTTAGTTGTAATTGTGATGTGGTTGTGGGAGGCGGCGAGTACAGGCGTTTGCCTATGCTGCCATCTTGGTCTCTCTCTCTGTTGTATTCTTTTTAATGGCCGAATAACATTCTATTATGAGGATGTGCCAGACTTTATTTAACCAGTCTCCTATGAATGGGTATTTATTCAGGTTGCTTCTGGTCATTTATAGCTACAAATAACCTAGCTCTGAGTATCCCTTACATAAGTTTTTACTCACATGTGGTATATCTGTATACCTTTGCTGGAGAAAAGGGTATGCATTTTAACATGAAACACCAGTAAGGCATGCGGAACTACGCAAAATCTAGGCCTGAAATCTCATCCAAAGAACGAAATCACGAAGGGTAGAATTTTGACCATCAGCAAGGGACACCGTTTCCCTGGGAAGAGTGTGTCTGCTTATCCTGAGAGTGGCCCTCCCCTCTCCCCAGCTCTGAAGCCCCAGTGCCAGCGAGCAGAGGCGGCTGGGGCGCCCTGGCTCCCGAACCCCTGAGGGGAGGGGCGCAGTGGCGTTCTCTGTGCGCAGCAGTTCCCTTTCTAATCAGTTTTCCCACCGCATCATCGGCGGCCAAGACAGACTTTCATAACTTGCTATCTTTACAATATGTCGTTCAAATTTAAAACATGCTAAAAGGGAGAAAATATTTATAGAATTTTTCTCTGGAAGGAAAAACCCCCCTGCTTTTAAGCCTAGCCAATGACATTTCTGGAAACCACAGAGGGAAAACAGCAACAACGCGCAGAAGATAAAATGGACTAATTACACAACAGATCTCTAATTTAAGAAACTAGCTGCATTCTTTTGCCCCCCCCCCCCCCTTAAAGATGACAGGGAATAAAAATACTGGGTTACCAGCTTATTAAAACAATAATGTAACGACTCCTGACCTCCCCCTCTGCAAGCGGACGTGGGTCCGTGCATGTGTACGCACAGCGGCGGGCCTGCTGGCCCAGCTGGGCCTGTGCACGGGGTTCCCTTTGGTGGGGTTTCTTGGCCTGAGGACCAGTTTCCCATGGGAAGGAACGGGGAGCCGCTGCCGGGGTTATTTAAATCTTGGATCATCCTCCCTTTTCCAAAGCTGGGAGTGTCTCCATGGCCACAGCTGTTGTGGACACTGAGCCCAGTGGCGTGACTTTGGAGCTGCCGAGGTGGGCCTGGCTAGCCTGTCCTTTGCTCTGTCCTCAGTCCTGCCTCAGGGTGGTCAGCAGAGGCTGGAGAGCCCCCTCCCCTCGTTTCTGCACATCCGGGCCTGACGGAGGGGATCTTTCTCGGCCAGAGCTGCCAGGAGCCGGAGAGTGACGCCAGCCAAAACCTCGGCGTGAACTTCGTTTCTGTTTGGATTTTTATGGAAACGGTTCCTCCCAGACATGCATCCTGTGGGAGCGCTCCGTCCCCTGCCCTTGTTGTTCTGTATGAATGGATGATGTGGACTGGTTCACGGGTTTGCAGCGAATGCGGGCCACCGGGCGCTTTTAATGAAACCTTGGGCTGCCCGGCGTGGCTCTCGGAGGCCTTGTAAGCCACAGCCTGGGCTCCCTGTGCCTGGATGGGCTTGGCTCTCTGCTCCCAGCGTGGGAATTGTGGCTGCCAAAGGCTGCCCTGCTTTGCTGGGGGATTTGAGGAAGGGTCTTTACTCCCAGGCCTGCAGTGTAGACCCGAGCTAACGCCGGCGTGAGGGCCTTGCAGAACCAGGATGAGAAATCCTAGTGGGCAACAAAGAAGTATGGTGAGCCCTGGCAGGTGTGGCTAAGTGGATAGAGCATCGCCTGTGGATAGAGCATCAGCTTGTGGACTAAAGGGTTGTGGGTTCGAGTCTGTACTTCGATTGCAGGCTTGATCTCCAGCCCCGGCATGCGGGAGACAATCAGTCGATGTGTCTCTCTCACATCGATGTTTCCCCCTCTCTGTCTCTCCCTGCTCCCTTCTACTCTCTCTAAAAATCAGTGGAAATATATCCTCAGGTGGGGATTCACAAAAGACAAAGAAGAATAGCGAGAAAGCAGAGATGGGGCCCTGAGGAAGGGTATGTGGTGGGGGCAGGTGGCTCCACTCTGGGCCAGGGCCTAGATGGCTATTCTCAGCATTGACTTCAGCTGAGGCGACGGCCTCAGTTTCCCTGCCTCGCCTTCTCCGACTCAGTAGGTGCCAACATGTTGATTTGAGCACGTGCTGTCCATCTTCCCAGAACACAGCAGGGTGGGGGAGGGGTGCACACCCAGAGGGTTCGGGACAGTCCACCCCTTTGGGGACCCAGGTTTCTGTCTGGCATCAGGGTGCCTCTCCCTCCCCAGAGACCCCCTCCCCAGAGCCCCGCTCCTGCCACTAACCACCCCTCCTCCCCGGTGGCCTCCGTGCTTGGGCCTTGGGCCCTGGGCCCGAGGCAGCACCGAGAGCCAGGGCGCCTACCCCCTCGCCTGGGAAAGTGGCAATCATCGCACCTTGAGTGGCCTGTCCCAGCGCTCATGCGCCTGAGCCAACCTCCTGCAAACCAGAAAGGGGGCCTTTGTGCCAGGAGGATGGGTACCCTGCGCCTCGCACACTGACACCCCCCAGCATAAGGTGTCTTGTCTGCTAAGAGCCAGGGCTGGGCCTCCTTTCCCAGAAGCGCCTGTGAGTGCACTCCCCTGGGAGCAGAGGCGCTCTCTGACCTGCCGTCTTTTCTGCTAGCCTTGGTCTCCTAGACCTTGAGGTCTGTCTGCTCTTGGGGTCCGTGGTTCCTGAGTGAGGCCAAGAGATCTCCAATTGGAACTTTCTTGAAGCTGGTGGTCATCTGTTACAGTGTGGCTCCCAGCAGGCCTTTCTTAGGCC